ATTCACCTAGTGAATAGGAATCCTACAATTTAAATTACATGCAGGCATGAGAGAAAAAACAGCTAAATTCACCATGGTAGCAAAGCTCAGCTAGAAGGAGTTGACAATACCAAAACTCAAAAATACTTGCAAGTTTACAACAGGACAAGTGCTATCTGATTTCTCATACAGGAGAAATCTACAGCAGTCAAAAATCATGGAAACAGGAAGTGAAATGGTGATTGTCAGAGATTTGGAGAAGGGGAAGTAGGGAGCTATTGTTTCATGATCTCTATTGTCTTTTGTGTTTCTACAATAAAATACCTGAAATTGGTTTTTTTAATAAAGAAAAGAAATCTAGCTCATAATTGTGGTGGTTGGTAAATCCAAAAAGCATAGTATTTATAACCAGAGCTATATCACAACATAGTGAGAATATAGGCTCCAGGCAAAAAGTACATATTTGGGAATAACAAAACAAAAAATGAGGAGGGACCAGATTGAGTCTTTTTAACAACCGTGTGTGAGTGTGTATGTGTGTGTGTTGGTGTATATGCTTAACTTGAGATAAAGTCTCATGAATTTTCTTTCTGGGCTGGCTTCGAACCATGAGCCTCACATCTCAGCCTCCTGATTAGCTAGGATTACAGTGTGAGCCACCAGCACTGGCTGATCACTCTTTCTTAAAGAAACTAACCCAGCCTATGAGAACTACTTGATCCCATCCTAGAGAATTGCCCTCATAAGCTAATGACCTTCCAGTAGGCCCCATGTCTCACAAGTTCCCTCACTTCAACACTAGGGGTAGAACTTCCAATACATGAATCGCGGGACAACCAATACCCAAATCATACCCAATCCTAGTGTGAGGCCCTAAATTCAGTCCCTAGTATCACTAAATAAAAAGTGGGAAGAATTGATTTTATTTTTAAGCACAATTTTTTAAAGCTTTAGGAAACTGGCGCAATTTAGGCTGGAGACAGGCAACCTTATACACTTTAGCTGCCTTTAAAGCTTACTATGTAGAATACTAGCTTCCTTGACCCCTCACTTTATAATCTTTTCACTGGTCATTCCCCTTACCTGAATGCTCTTCTCCTAGATGTATGTGTATGTGGCTGTATCTTTCATTGACTTCAAATCTTCAAATGCCACTTTCTCTACCAGGCCCACCCTGACCATGATGTTTAATATTTCAGCCCAACCACTTCTCCTCCACCAGAACTCCCTAATCCTGCGCATTGCTCTATTTTCTCTATTTTACTACTGTTTTCCAACATGTTTTAGAATTTTAGGATAACCTGCTACATTTATTATTATCTGCCTCTATCCTCTAATATATAAGATGCATCAAAAACAAGGATCTTTACCTACTTAGTTCCTGATACATCTCAAATGCCTTTCCTAGCACACAGTCAGCAGGCAATATATACTCTGGTGTTTATTATAACTAAAAAATTAAAAACTATAATTAAAAAATTAGAAACCTTGTATACACTGACATTATAACTGAGTTCTTCTATGCTAAGATGGAAGATCTAATTATGCTCCTATCTCTAACTTTACAAAAATTTCATCTAAGAAGTTGGAATACCAGGAAAGTAGTTGTAGAAACAGTGGTCTCCAAATGTAGGATGCTACAAATTAGACTCATAGTACCTTATTTAGTAGGTATGGAAAGCTGAATTTTAAGGTAGCAGTCAGAATGTCTGAGAAGCAACTTAACAGATACTATAGAACCTGGATAGGCAGCTCCAATCACCTCAAAAAGTAGAGGTGGAGAGTAGGAGTGATAATAAGGAATCTAAGAAGTCTGTGTGAGAATATAAATCCATACCCTTCCCTACCCCTCTCTTTTTTTTTTTCTTTTTTTTTTTTGCCAGCCATGAGGCCTGAACTCTGGGCCTGGGCGCTGTCCCTCAGCTCTTCAGCTCAAGGCTAGTGCTCTACCACTGGAGCCACAGGACCACTTCCGGCTTTTTCTATTTATGTGGTGCTGAGGAATCGAACCCAGGGCCTCATGCTTGCAAGGCATGCACTCTACCGCTGAGCTACCTTCCCAGCCCCCCTACCCCTCTCTTTTGGCAAGATTCCTTTCTCATCCTGACATGAGACTTTATTCTCTGAAGAGAATAAAGTGATAGGTAGGCAGGTAGGTTCATTGACTTCAGAAACTGGGTGTTAGGTTTTTAAAAAGAGGTAACCAAGTAAGAACAGCACCACGCACGTGGTATTCAGGTAAGGAGTAGGTTTATTCATCGTTCCGGCTGGCACCAGGCCATCTTGGTCCTCCACGCGGTGGGGAAAGGCCTGGGAAAGAGAGCTGGGAGATCTGGGAAAGAGAAAGAGCTGGGAAAGAGAGAGAGCTGGGAAAGAGAAAGAAAAGAGCGAGAAAATAGAGCATCTGGGAAAGAGGTGGGAAAGAACAAGCTAGGAAAGAGAAGAGAGCTGGGAAAGAGAAGAGTAAGAAAGAGCTGAGAAAGAGCTACAAAAGAGCAGAGAGAGCATCTGGGCCTGGGCTAGGCCTTATCTAGGGTATGGGCAGAGAACGGTGTGGCCACATCAAATTCAGATGTGACCTCAGCGGATGCAGATGTGACCTCTTCCAGGTGTCCCAGTTGCCTAGGAAACGCGGGTACTGGGTAGAGACTTTGCTGCGAGGAGGGTGGAGTCTGCTAGCCATCCAGGAGCGGACCTTACACTGGGTGCTGTGCCAAAACTAGTAGAATTCAGGGGCCAAATACCTGTTGATGGCTGACAGTGCTTCCAGCATCTTGGCAATCATCCCTTTATTCTTCCCACAGAAGAATTTCTTCTTCAACACTCTGACCAGCCAAAGGAAAAGATCTAAAGATCTTGACACCTGAGTTTCCCTATCAAATGGCCTAGCAGAGTAAAACTGACAGACCCCAGCAAGTGCTCAGAGCTTCTAATCAGTTTTTGGTCCAACTTTTACCATTAAATAGCCAATCATTCACCTCACACTTAAGTATGTGTCTCACATGGAACACAAAAACTGAAGCACAGCTATACAAAAGTGGAACTTTAGGTAAGCGTAGACCCCAGGTAAATTAAAGGAACCATCTCTGGAGGCAGTTTCATTCAATCTTGAGGTACAGTACTAAGACATGGTCTCTACGCTAGTGCTGCTTACCATCTAACTACAGGTGGGATGAAATTTTGTTACCTCCCTTAGTTGTTACGTAATTATTCAAAAGCATCAACTTTATGCTAACCGTTATGTTAGGTACTGGCAATAAAATGATTAGTCATCCCAGGTGCCAGTGGCTCACGCCTGTAATCCTCGCTACTCAGGAAACTGAGATCTGAGGATCACAGTTCAAAGCCAGCCTGGGCAGAAAAGTCTATGATTCTTATCTCCAATTAACCACAAGAAAACTGGAAGTGGTGCTGTGGCTCAGGTGGTAGAGTGCTCACCTTGAGCTGAAGAGCTCAGGGACAGCTCCCAGGCCCAGAGTTCAAGCCCCACAACCAACCAAAAAAAAAAAAAAAGAAAGAAAGAAATTTCAGATTATTCATGATTCCCATAAGTTTTTTTTTTAGTCTTCAAGTACTGTTTGTACAAAGGTGCTCCAATTCAACATATCAGTTTACATGTACAGTGTATCTTAATATCAATCTTTCCATGATTTCTATAAGAACAAAGGACCTAGACAGATAGCTTCTAGATCTTGGTACACACAGGCTGCCTAGAAGTGACACATTTCACAATCTGTTCCTATATCATTGGATACGTTACTTGGCCATTTCTGATTCCACAGGGCAGGAAAACTTACTCATTCCTTAGGGATCAGTAATACATTACATTAAAGTACCTTCCATTATACTCATGGGATTCCAACACAAGAAGGAGTCTTTAAAGTTCCTTTGATATTTGTTTTCCAAATATTTCTTTTTTGAGATGAAGTGATGACATAAATTTCACAATACTGTGGCATAGTTATGTTTAGCCAAAGTCACAAACACATTTTAACCACCACAATGATAATCATCGTAATCTTAATATAAAGTTTATGAATTCTACAAACCTTAATAGTAAGACTATTTCTTCCAAATCGGTGCTTTGATATTTTTAAAAACTTTTATTCCCTTAGGTATGGTACTAGTGTATGAACTGATGGTCCCAAATCTGAATTCAAATCTCTTCTTATGGCCTTATGCCTTTGTTAGGGTAAGGATCTTATCTTTTCATCTATCTGTGTGGCTTCTCCATGTACTACTTCCTTTCTTTGGCCACTTTGCATGTGTGTGTGTGTGTGTGTGTGTGTGTGTGTGTTTATGCTGGTTCTGGGGCTTGAATTTAGGGCCTTGTGCTCTTGCTGGGCTTTCTGCCATCATGTGTATAATTTCTTAAAAGCACTTCTTTTTGCTGCTTTTGTCCTATGAATTGTCCTGTAAAGATTAGAACCTGTTCTTTTATCATGTCTGCACTATCCTCCCGTTTCTCTGGGCATATAAATAAGGTATGTATAAAGGCGTGATGTCTCCTGAGCTTTTTCAGTCAAGGCTAGCGCTCCACCACATTGACCCACAGGTTTTCCGGTGATTAGTCAGAGAGCGGAGACTCTCGGACTTTCCTGCCCGGGCTGGCTTTGAACCGTGGATCCTCAGATCTCAGCCTCCGGAGTAGCTAGGATGACAGGCGTGAGCCACCAGCACGGGGCGGCCTAATTTTTTACTAGAGTGTTCTCTGCGATTAAAACCCGGAGGAGCTGACGTGGCTGGAAGGTGAACAAAGCCTCGGAGAAACAGACTGAGCACACAAGAACAAAGTGACCCACCAGGCCAAGCAAAGTAGCCCAGACCCCTCGCCTCCGGGAAGTCCCGCGAGACTTTTTACCCAATTCCCGAAGATTTCCATCAAGTCCGGACAACTCCCCTCCCTCCAGAGGGCGGAGCAAGGGGGAAGCCGTGGGCGGCACACGGCCTCTAGCTTCTCCGCACGGAGATCTCGAGGGAGTGTTGGGATTCTCGCGATATTTCCGGAGCCGACACTTCACACGCTGTCTGGGCCGGGAGGGTGGAGGTTACGGTCGGGGAGAAGCCCCCTGGTGCGGTCCTCCGGAAGCCTGCGAAGGAGGGTAGTGTCCACTCCCCCGAGTCTGTCACGATGCCCAGCGCCAGCGCCGGCCGCAAGAATCAGGAGAAGCCGCGGGAGATCATGGACGCGGCGGAAGTGGGTTTTCCTTCGTCCCCGGGCCTGGGAGGGCCGGCCGGGCCGAGGGTGGGGGTAGCGTCCCGGGGCCCTGCCGTCAGCGCTCCTCGGGCTTGGAGCCGGGGCTCCCGCGGCCCAGAACCTCCCTGAGGGTCTGCAGGGCCCGGGCTCAGCCAGCTGCGAACCCTGGTGCTTCTGGTGACCTGGTCTGAGGAGCCTCCCCCCGGGGCTGGGCGGGACGTTCGCGAACCCCGGCCTCCCCGGAAGCGGGAGCCGCGTGTGCACCCCTGAGCTCGTCTGGGTTAGTCACGTAACACACTCTCCACCCTAGTCCCGCGGTGGTTTTGCCCACCAGTACCAATCGATCTGTGCTTGGAATGCCCTGTCAAAGAATGATCGTCCTCGGCAAAACCACCTGCCCATATGTGTAATGACCATTTTTTTCATGTGGCAGTTTAAAAAAAAAAAAAAAACACGTGTCGTTCTTGCTCACCTGACGTGGTTAGTGAAGTTCGTAGAGGATTCATTTGAAATAAACACCCAGTGGTTCTTTAAGTACTTCTTAGAAGTCAAGAGTTTTAATTTCCGAAATGGTGGTTTACTATAATGGTAAGCCTTACTCTGTCTGGCTCCTAATTTGCTATTGAAGAATTGTGCTTTTATGGTAAACTACATAATAAATCATCTCAGAATGTTACATATAATCAGGATTGCTAGACTAACACTAACCAGAAGAGATTACACATCTTCCTTCTTTTACTTTACGAAGCATTTCTTACATATGTATGCTATTTTCAGGCTTCCTTGAGTGACAGTATCTTCTCTTATGGCCCACATGATACTTGCCCTTGAATTGTATTTTTTGTTTGAGATAAGATCTTGTACTTAGAACAGGCTAGCCTAGAACTTGGCCATCCTCTTGCCTCAGCTTCTAGAATGCTGGGATTATAGGCATGTGCCACCATCTGATATGCATTTTTCTTAATATTTCAAAAAAATTGTTCAGCAGGGCACCATGAAAACTATAATCCTAGTTATTTGAGATGCAGATATCAGAGGATAGGGTTAGAAGCCAATCAGGGCATAAAAGTTCATGAGACTGCATTTCAACCAATGGTTGGTTGTGATAGAGGGTACTTGTTATGACAGCCGTGTGGAAACAAAATGACTGGTTGCAGTGGTGCTGTGCCTGTCATTTGAAGTGACATAGGGAAACACAGAAAGATCACAGCCCAGGCTGACCAGGAAATAAAGGGAGACTACCTTAAAAAGAACCTTTGCAAAAAAAAAAAAAAAAGGGCTGAGCCATGACTCCAGTGGTAAAACACCCACCTAACAAGTGCCATAAGCACCTTGATTCATTTAATGGTACAAAATCTACTGTTCTCTGTATCTAAAAGAGGGGATTCCAACCACTAGCTTTAGTGGCAGAAACTTTTATGCAGATTTTAAGTTACCTTGTAAAAATCTGAAGAAATTATTTTATCTATTGATGTGTTTAAAGACTATGAATGTACTCTTGCAAATAGCATAGGTTTATAAGATAAACATTGTGACAGATCATTTTATAGCTGAAAGGAACTTAATACATCATTTTAAAGGTAAGATTGAAATGAAACATCACTTATCTACTTAGACCCTTGGTCTCCCATTCCTATACCTGTCTTTAAATCTGTAGTTGAGTTTTGATAGTATTACAGTGCCACTGTCAACCCTTTGTAACCTACTATCCTAAAACTGGATTTTAGAAACAAGAAGCTGGTGAGTTTCTTGATGTTTTAAAAAAGGAAAATTGCAATTAATTCATATTTAACATCTCTGATTTCTAAAAACAGGATATCTGGGTCAGAAAGCATCTCTTCCCAAAATATAAAGTTAATACAACTCTGGTACTTTGTCCTATTCCCAGAAGAAATTCATAATCCTGCTTTAAAGTAATTTAATTTCCATTTTGAAGATGGTAATTAAGTTGTGTAGTACATGAGTGTACATTTCATCTGAGTGCTTTTATACATGGTGTATCCATCCAGGATTGGTAATCTGTGAAACAAGTAGAGACTGGATGGTTTGTTTTCTTTTTGGAGATACACATGTAAATAACAGGCTTCTGTATTTTAAGTGGTTGACTCTGAATTAATGAAATGCTCCTTCACGTTAAAATTTTCATTTTTATGTGTGGTTATTTGTATTTACATTTTTAGAATCATGATGCAAAAACTTTTTTTCTAGGATTATGCTAAAGAGAGATATGGAATATCTTCAATGATACAATCACAAGAAAAGCCAGGTTAGTGTTTATAAAATCATTGTTTTGCTTGTGGATCTGGGAAATCCAACCCCAAGCTTTTGGGCATGCTAAGAAAATTAAAATGTTCTACCATTGAGCTATATACCTATCCCTTCATTAAGTTTTTTGTTTTGTTTTGGGTCCGGTCGTGGGGCCAGAACTCTGGGCCTGGGCACTGTCCCTTAGCTCTTCAACTCAAGGCTAGCGCTCTACCACTTGAGCCACAGTGCCACTTCCACTTTTTTCTTTTTGCTTATGTGGTGCTGAGGAATCGAACCCAGGGCCTCATGCATGCAAGGCAAGTGCTCTACCACTGAGCCACCTTCCCAGCCCCCTTCATTAAGTTTTAAGTAGAGTAACAAAAGACATAACTGAAGGAATAACTTTGAAAAGGCAAAATGACATTTGTAACACAACAAGATGTCATCACTGTATATAAATACTGTCACTTTAAGGTTTATAATCTAAAAGAGAAGTAATATATTTAAATGAATATTGGAGGTTTAATGGTGCATATTAAATGATGGACTATATATGTTTTCTTAATTCCTAAATTATTAAGTAGGATTTTACTGTGACCCAGGGGTAATAGAAAAGTGGTTAATAACCACATAACATGCAGCCTTTGTGTATGTTTTAATACCTCTGAATAAATCTTCATACTTTCCTCCAAATAGTTTATCTTTCTTGTCTGCTTCTATGGCTCCAGATTCTTTTATTCTAATGCAAGTGACTCTTAAACCTTATTACTGCTGTTCATTGCCTCTGCCAGTTACGCTGATGGAATGTGAATTGGGATACCTCAGATATGTTGGGATATATTGAAGATTGAGAACCCCTATGAGAATTAAATGGGATGCCACAAGAAAGACAGGCCATTACTCTTTTGTATATGTAATACTATTAAGATGGTCCAAATCATCAAATACACATACACATTCAGATTTGTTATGCTCTCTATTTGGTTTTGAGTATTTATTCCCTCGTTACTATTCATTTACTGTTTCAATCTTGGTGTTTTCCAATAAGCTTACTAAAATCTTAACACTTTTTTTCTTTCTTTACACTTTTGTGTGAGTTTACACAGCACACTTGGAATTTGGCTTCACTCATGCAATCTATTGGCAGAATTTTGCAAAAATCCTCTTATGATGCATATCCGTATGGCTTTGAAATTCCTCTTTCATCCTCTGTTTTTGGCCATGAGAATCATAGCATTCTGCTAGAAATTAAATCTCTAAACTGTATGTATCCTTGCTTCAAAAGACAAATCATGAGTGCATTCAGAAAAAACATAGATTAAATGCATTATATAATTTGATTTGTAATATCCCAAAAGGTATTATTCTTAATATTGTGTCATTTTTCTTTCTTTTTCTTTTGTGCCAGTCCTGGTGCTTGAGCTCAGGGCTTGTATGTTATTCCTGAGCTTCTTTTGTTTAAGGCTAGTTCTACTCTTCAAGCTATAGCTCCACTTTTGGGTTTTGGAGGGGATAGTTTGTTGGAGATAAGGATCTCACAGACTTTCTTACCTGGGCTGGTTTTGAACAGCAATCCTCAAATCTCAGCCTCTTGAGTAGCTAGGATTTCTTAATATTTTCTTTTCGTCTGTCATGGGGTTTGAACTCTGGGCCTGGGCTCTGTCCCTCAGCTCTTAAGCTCAAGGTGAGCACTCTGCCACTTGAGCCACAGCACCACTTCCTGTTTTCTAGTGGTTTATTGGACATAAGAGTTTCACGGAAGTGGTGCTGTAACTCAAGTGGTAGAGCGCTTACCTTGAGCTGAAGAACACAGGGACAACGCCCAGGCCCAAAGTTCAAGCCCCACGACTGACCCAAAAAAAAAAAAGTTTCATGGACTTTCCTGGCAGGGCTGGCTTTGAACCATGATCCTCAGATCTCAGCCTCCTTAGTAGCTAGGATTACAGGCATGAGCCACCAGTGCCCGGCTGATAATCCAGGTTCCCTCCCCCCCTACCAAATAGTGCATATTGAGAATAGGAAAAATGATTTTTGAATATTTTAGCTATCTTTCCATGATAGTTGTTTTGTTGCTGTTTTCATATTTGATGGACTTTAGGGGGATATTTATCATTGTGTTTAATATCAGGGGTCTTGGTCTCACTTGAAAATCAAAAGCTCACTTAGGGGCTGGGAAGGTGGCTCAGTGGGAGAGCACTTGCCTTGCATGCCTGAGGCCCTGGGTTCGATTCCTCAGAACCACATACGCAAAAAGAAAAAAGCCGGAAGTGGCGCTGTGGCTCAAGTGGTAGAGCGCTAGCCTTGAGCTGAAGAGCTGAGGGACAGCGCCCAGGCCCAGAGTTCAGGCCCCACGACCGGACCCAAAAAAAAAAAAAGAAAAAAAGCTCACTTAGTAACTAAAGGAAACAAAGAATGACCCAAATATGACTAGATTTAGGACTCAAGCCTCTTCAAAGCTCTGCCTTCTTCTTGCTTCTGTTTCCTTTAGAATATTGGACTCATTCTCTCCTACAAGCTCATTTATTGGGAAAGATGGTGATTTTTTTGCCCCAAGTATATACCCTCTCAGCTCAGGAAAGACAGCGCTTTACTCCTAGATTATGTACATTGATTCCCAGAAAAGGACTTTGATTAACTGAGTTTGAGTAATATATCCTTCCCTGGATCAGTCACTGTCCTGGGGAATGAGCTACCATGACTATCTAGGCTAAGAATCTTGTGGCTAGCTAACTTACATTCTAGACAAGCAAGCAAAATGCCATGTTCACTTATGCTTAAAAGGTATGTTTGGCTTTTTAATTCATCTAAGTTTTCAGCAGGTTTACATTTTGGAATTTGTTTCATTATAGTATAGACTAAATTAGAAAGGAACCAGTTAAGAAACTCGCTATAGTTTAGGCAAGAGGTAATAGTAGCCTTACTTAAGATGATAGCAATGAAGGTAGTAGAGTATTATATTTAGAAAGTACAATTCACACAATTTAAAGCAAATTGCATATTGAAGGTTATAGAGAAGAATTTATCAAAGATTGAGAATTACTTAAGATAATGGCAAGTTTTTAGACTAGCTGCTTGATGAAAATAATAGTCTCTGTAAATTTTTGAAGGTTATAGAGAAGAATTTATCAAAGATTAAGAATTACTTAAGATAATGGCAAGTTTTTAGACTAGCTGCTTGATGAAAATAATGGTCTCTGTAAATTTTTAATTTAAAAGTCGTTTTTATTATGTGTTGCAGATCGAGTTTTAGTCCGGGTGAGAGATTTGACAATACAAAAAGCTGATGAAATTGTCTGGGTACGTGCAAGAGTACATACAAGCAGAGCGAAAGGTAAGATTGATATGATTTACTGTCCATTTTGACAATGACACTAAATTTTTTGGTAATATGAATTCCTTACAGACCAAAGTGAATTATTAAGAACAGAACTAAAGCCGGGCACCGGTGGCTCACACCTTTAATCCTACCTACTCAGGAGGCTGAGCTCCAATGATTGTGGTTCAAAGCCAGCCCGGGCTGGAAAGTCTGTGAGACTCTTTATCTCCAGTAAACCACCAGAAAACTGGAAGTGGCACTGTGGCTCAAGTGGTAGAGCACTTGCCTTGAGCTGAAGAACTGAGGGTCAGTCCCCAGGCCCAGAGTCCCAGCCCCATGAACAATACCAACAACAAAAAACAACAATAACAAGAGTTTAAGCCCCATGACCAAAATAAAAAAAAGAAAAGAAAAAAAAGAACAGAACTAAAACTATTAAGTCATTGTAAAGTATTTATCCATGGTTAATCAGTTTAGGATCCTGTAAGATATCTTTGAAAATAAATTTCTTCTAATGCTGTATCCAAAAGCCCATGACTGTAGTCCAGCTACTCAGGAGTTAAGAGATTGGAAGAATTATGGTTCAGTCTAGGCAGAAAAGCAAGATTCCATCTCAAGCAATAAAACTAGGAATAGTGGTATACTGTACTCATCTATCATTTTAGCTATAAAAGACCCTTAAGTAGGAATATCAAGGTCCAGGCCAGCCTAGACAAAAATGTAAAACTGTATTTTAAAAATACTTAATAATAGTTGTCATGTAGCTCAGTGGCAAAGCTTTTACCTAAGTAGTGCACATTCTGGGTTCAATCCCTAGTACCAAAAAAGATGAGATTTAAAAATATATATATATATATATATATATATATGTAATATATATATATATATATATATATATATATATATATGGGCCTGGGAAGGTGGCTCAGTGGTAGAGTGCTTGCCTTGCATGCCTGAGGCCCTGGGTTTAATTCCTCAGCACCACATAAGCAAAAAATAAAAAGCCCGAAGTGGTGCTGTGGCTCAAGTGGTAGAGTGCTAGCCTTAAGCTGAAGAGCTGAGGGCAGAGTTCAGGCCCCACGATTGGACCCCCCCCCCCCCAAAAAAAAAAATATTATATATATATATACAAACAAAAAGACTAATGAAAGGAGCTCAGACTGATTATAGATCCAGGTGTCCATGGCTCACACAATCCTAACTACCCAGGAGGCTGAGATCTGAGGATCATAGTTCAAAGCCAGCTCAGGCAGGAAAGTCCATGAGACTCATCTCCAATTAGCCACCTGAAAACCAGAAGTGCTGTGGCTCAACTGGTAAGAGTGCCTTAAGCTAAAGAGCTGAGGGACAGCGACCAGGCCCCACAACTGACCAAAAAAAAAAGTAATTATAATTTGACCTAAATATTGTTCAATAAGAATGATACCACCCTATTTGTTAGGAAATGGGAAGACTTGGAAAAAAATCATATTAAGTAAAGTAAGCCAAACCCAAAGAAATATAGGTCCCATGGATTCCCTCATTTGCAATAAATAGTAGTACATCTAGGATAATTTTATCAGATGAGCAGAAAAGCTCAAAAGCTATTTACATATGGATCATCTAGGATGATGCTAAGTAAAATGAACCCCAAGATGGGGATACATTAGGTCTTTCTTTGTTGTTATTTTTAATGTACTATGTGATTTTTGTTGTTGTTGTTTCCATTGTATGTTCTTCCCCCTATGGTATATCCCCTGTTGTCACTGTACTTGATTTTGGTACCTTGCATCTTGTATAAACATTTGTCTAATTTGGGGAGAGAAAGGGGAATAAAAAAAAATGCTGAAACCAGGACACAGGATGACCCATTGCAACAATGAGACCCACAAGATAGTATATTGGAATTGAACTTTACAACTTCAGGCGGGGTGGAGAGGTGAAGAGTGAGGGAGGTGAGGGAGGGAAGGGATAGTGGGAGAACAACAAGGGAAAGGGTAACAATGCTCAACAAGAAAGTACTCCTTATGTTACTCATGTAACTAACCCCTTTGTACAGCATCTTTACAATAAAATGAAAAAAGAAAGATGGTCCAATAAGGTAGCCACTGGCACATGTACCCATATAAGCTAAAATTCAGCAGCTCAGTCACACTAGCTGTATTTTGAATGATTAATAAACAAGTGGTTACTGGCTCTCCTTTTAGACAGCTCACATACAGAAGACTTTCTTGTAGAAAGTTCTTTTGGACAGTGCTAACAATTTTGAATTAATAGCAGAAATATTAGGGGGCTTTAAACAAACTGATGTCTTATAAAATATTGGCCTACCTTAGTATTCAGCACTATCTAAAAATATTAATAGCATTTATATTAGATTGTAACTACTTTTCACACACTTTTTGGGGGAGATAGCCAGGTCTGGGCTTTAAACTCAGAGCCTGGTTGCTATCTCTTGAGTTTTTTTTGCTCAAGGGTAGCACTTTTGCCAATTGAGCCACAACTCCATTTCCAGCTCTTTCTCCCAGACTTTTCCTGCCTAGGCTGGCTGCAAACTCTAATCTTCAGATCACAGCCTCCTGAATTAGTATTACAGGAGTAAGCCACTGATATTTTGCTTTCCCCACTTTCATCTTTAATCATTCAACAGATATGTGAAGTACCATGTAACAGGCATTGCTAGTCCACTTCATGAATGAAGAAACATATCCAAAGTAATAAAGCTGCTTCCCGAAGTCTTATAGGAATTGGTGGAATATGAACAGAATCCACAGACTTTCTAGGATACCTCTATTTAGGAGAGTTTTCTGCTCCTATAGCATTTAATACAGCCCTTGCTCCAGCATTTCTTAGTTGTTTTCATATATTTTTATTACAGAATTAATATATAATTTGTTGGCATATATGAAAATAGAACAATGAAACCAGTTGAAATTGTTATAGGAAGGGAGAGTAATAGGGGGATTGATTATAATACATTATGTTCCTGTGTGGAAATGTCACAGTGAAATCTCCCAGTGTATAAATGTATGCTAATAAAGTTAATATATGTCCATCATTTTAAGTTATGACATTCTTAGCTCCAGTTAACCACCAGAAAATGGTAGAGTACTAGCCTTGAGCAAAAGAGCTCAAGGATAGCATTTAGAAACACTTGTTCTTTTGGATTATAAAAGTAGATGATTGCTTGCCAGACATGAGTGGCTGCTGCCTATATACTAGCTACTTGGGAGTCTGAAATCTGAGGATCATGGCTTAAAGCTAGCTAGTCCTGGAAGGAAAATCCATTAAACTCTTATCTCCAATTAACCTCTAAAAAGCAAGAAGTGGAGCTGTGGCATAAGTGGTAGAGTGTGCTATCCTTCAGCAAAAACAGCTCAGGGACAGCACCCAGATTCTGGCACAAAAACATATAATCCTCAAGATTTTAAAATAAAACTTTGTAAGTAGTATGCTGTAATTTTTCTCAGTTTACAGGTGAATAAACACATAAAGTGGTATGAATTTTTTCCCTAGACCCCTTTTCAGGGAACTGATAGGATACAATTAAAGGGCTTTCGGTGGGGGGGGGGGGGACCTTGAACTCTGAGCCTAGGCACTGTCTCTTAGCTCTTCACTTCAGGGTGAGTGGCTCTACCACTTGAGCTACAGCAGCTCTTCCTGTTCTGAATGGTTTATTGGAGATAAGAGTCGCAAGGAGTTTCCTGCCTCTGCTGGCTTTGAACCATGATCCTTAGATCTCAGCCTCCTGAGGATTACAGGCGTGAGCCACTGATGTCCTTATTGATTAAAGGGCTTTTGATTTCCAAGCCATATTTCAAATCATTAAGCTAAATATTATCCCATAATTCTGACTCACAAACATTTTCTTATGCTCACCCTTTTTAAGTCTTTTAGAGCTCTCTGTTCTCTTCAGCACTAGATGGCTTCATAATTAAGCTTGGTCTGGACTGCCACTAAACAACTAGAACAGCTAAAATACTCTTTACCCTAGCAGTGTTGTAGTCACATTACCTTTAATTTCTCCCTAACATTCTGTTCCAAGTGGAACAGTGTGACTGAAATAGCAATTCTTTGAATAATGTCATTTTGATCCATGAGTTTTTCTATGACAATTTTTACCATATAATGTTTTTAAATCCCTCTGAATTTGTATAATCTAAAAAAAAAAAAAAACTTCCTTTTCTTTTAGGTTTTTACTCCAGAACAAAAGGGAAAATTAGTGTCTTTTTTGTGATAAAAACCTGTCAATCATGTGTGAATCCAGAGCCAATAGACTATCTGCATTGACATTTTCCAACCTCTATTTATTCATGACTACTATCTGATTTGCATTTCAAAATTATGCCAAACATATTAACATATTTACTGCTTTCCTTTTTTACTTTTTTTTCCCCTGCAAAGCTAATTCTTAATCTGGAAAACATTTCTCAGTTTAAAAGGGAAAACTTTGTTTTTCCCAAGACAAACTGATAGAGAAAAATGGGACTTGAAGATATTTAACTCGCTTTTATGACAAAGTCGTTTTCCTAAATTTGATCAGAGATGTAAGAATCTGCTTTGGAGGAAAAGTGCTATCACATGGGTACATAATGACTGAAATATATTACAAGTAATATTTTTCAGAAGGTTATGAATAAGGGATGACATCTCTTTATGAAAGAAAGGGAAATCAAGAGGCCCAGGATAGATAAAAATAAAACTGATTATAGTACTTGGAGAGAATGAGTTCACAAACAGATTATTTGGAGTTTAAAAATATTGAAGTTTCATAAGGGATGAAAGATTGGGAAATGATAAAATACAACATGAAAGGAACCTATCAATCTGAATTATCTTTAAAATGCACTTAAAATGGTAAGAATTCTATTGACAACCTCCATAAAATGCTTGTGTTCTTATTAATGCACTTTATTAGCACTTTTGTGGTTGCATAATTGAAGCTTTCATGGTAATTATTAGTGTCTTTATAGAATCTAGTAGCTATTATATGTTGAAAGTGGTCTGAAATTACAAAATAATCTTTAGATTTATACATTGCATTAATTAGTGATTTGTCTATGTTTTCATAATAATGTTCAAGCATTTTTAGTTATTCATGGTAGGAGCTTGAGTTTTTAAAGCTTGTTGGTTGAATATATTTTGGCTGTGAATGCTGGATGGATACACTTGTGTGTACGTGCCTAAATTTGGGCCCAATTTTAAAGTAGAAAAACATTTTCCTTCTTTGCCAAACCTGAAGCAATATGTTTTTCATGCACTTGTATTCTTCCTGCCTCTCAGGGAAGCAGTGCTTCTTAGTCCTACGTCAGCAACAATTTAATGTCCAGGCTCTTGTGGCGGTGGGAGACCATGCAAGCAAGCAGATGGTTAAATTTGCTGCCAAGTAAGTAAGCAATTATATCCTGTTGTCAGAATAAACAATGGTGGGAACCAAGACTCCCAGGGGTTTGGACCATTTTCATACATTAACATCAATGCTTCGTTTGTTTAAAAATGTAGTTATTTAAATTGTCAGTTCAGTGTTGCTTGAATACATTAAACTCACAAAAGAGAAAATATGGAGCACAGGCTTGAAATTCATTTGGAACTGCTGAAGCAGCACTCTTTACAGACATGTCACATTTACTTTCAAGTAGAGTAACAAAAAGCCTGGCAGCCTCAACTGCTCTGCTAAGCAGAGCAACTATTTTGTGGTGATTGTTGAGCTTTATTTCCTCCCTCTCTCCCTCTTCCCTACCTTCCCCAAGTTATGATTTGCATATTAAGCAACAAGTTTTCTTAGTGACTTAATAAAAGTATGTAAAATAAGAATGTAGTTTTACAAATGATTTTTTTCTGAAGGAAATAAAATGAATGTGATATCCTGTTATAACTTTGATGCCAAAAGGGTATAGGGGAAAAAAGCAATACCCTCCCTCTCCTACTCCTTGCTCTAAAGGTCTTGCTGCCTGGCTCAGAATTCTTTTAGAAGGCACAGTATATTACTCACCTTGCAAAAGAACAGGATATAGTGACAGAAAGGAAGGGTAGTTATATATGCTGTAAATCGTAATGAGGTAAGTTTTACTTACTAGTTGGCCACAACTATGTTATTTGTATGTCTGTATCAATTTCATCTCATGAATTTTATCCATGGCAGTGATCAACATAGACATGGGGAAATGGTCTCTACATTTTTAAACAGTACAGTGCTTCATATATGTAAATGTTTTATAAAAGAAATCTAAAATAAATGCTATGGGGTTTTTTCTCTTGATTTTCTGTTAACCTAGATAAATATTTCCAAACATGGTTACCGTAAACAGAATTATGGATGTTAGAATTAGAAATTAAACAATGACCTAATTTAATATCTAATTTATATTTGAGCTCCTGACCCCCTTGTACAGTGTTTTATGTATTTTAGGTTTGAGTTTAGATATTTGTCAAAATGTTTTATTTTTTTCATAGTAATACTGTTTTCAGGTTTAAAGGTTTTAGTATCGTGCATTCCATCAACTGACTGATGAATTTGATAATGTTGATTCTATTAGTACGATAGCTGACCTCTTTCTCTCTCTCATGATGCTACTGTCCAAAGAGTGCCACTTCTGTGTTTTCTCTTGAATTTTCTGATAATCAAGTTTGCTTTCAGAGACATTGAGAGTACTTATGAAAACATTGGTCAGCTAGCCTTTAATGTAAATATGCAACCTATGAAGTAGGACATCAATGAGCATTGCCCCTAGAAACAAACTTGTATCTACACAGACGACCTTCTATGGAAAGGAAAAAAAGATGGCTATGGAAACCACTATGCTAGATTATATTTTAGATAGCAGGAAAAAGTCAGTCTTGAATAATTTTTATGAATTTAATCTTTTATATTTGATTCTGAAAACTAATGTATGGAACTGACAGTTTTCCTGGGACGTATTTTTTCTATTATATTGCATTATAATCTCAGTGTTACATAGTTTAAGAAAAGATTCTAGTCTAAAAGTAATCCCATTTTTTCTTTCTTTTCTGATACTAGGCTTTAGTTTCAGAGCCTCATACAAGGCAGGCTCTCTCTAAAACTTAAGCCATACTCTCAGCTCTCCACTTACATTTAATATTTACTGAGAGGCATTCTGCTGACAGATGGACAGTCAATTAATGTGATGTTTTTAGAACTCACAGAAAGTAATCCACAAAATAGATACTGTCATTAATTTGGGTCTACTTAGAAACTCTTGAGTCTTGCTAAGTGAAAACAATCGATAGAATCAAATGTAGTTGTTTTTTTTTTCTTGTACTGGTGATAGAATTCAGGCTCTAGCACTTGCTGGGCATGTTCCTGAACCTCTAGCTCCAGATGGCAATCAGAACTTACTATCCGAAAGAACTACTTGCAAATGGTCTCCCAAACAGATCTTGGTTGACTCATGTCCTTATAACCTATACAGAAACTATAGGCCTTTATCCAAATCAGGTATATATAATGATCTTTCTTTTAGACAGAGTAATTCTTAGGTAAGTCTTGATACTATTAATTTCTGAGGTGAAGCAGAGTACTGATGTTTGAAAATTAGCCAAACCCTGAGAGACTTTGGTTCTGATGTCCTTCTTTCTCTTTCTCTTTTTTTTTTTGGGGGGGGGGGGGGCAGGCGTGGGGGGGTGTTTTTGTTTTTGTTTTTTTTGTCGGTCATGGGGCTTGAACTCTGGGCCTGAATGCTGTCCCTCAGCAGTTCAGCTCAAGGCTAGCACTGTACCACGTGAGCCACTACGCCACTTCCAGTTTTCTGAGTGGTTTATTGGAGATAAGAGTCTCACTGACGGGGCTGGGAAGGTGGCTCAGTGGTAGAGTGCTTGCCTCACATGCATGAGGCCCTGGGTTCATTTCCTCAGTACTGCATAAGCAGAAAAAGCCCAAAGTGGCGCTGTGGCTCAAGTGGTAGAGCGCTTGCCTTGAGCTGAAGAGCTGAAGGACAGTGCTCAGGCCCCAAGACCGACACATTTCCCCTCCCCCCCCCCCCCCCCCTGCAAAAAACAAAGAGTCTTACAGACTTTCCTGGACTTTCTTGGTTGGCTAGCTTTTGAACGGTAATCCTCAGATCTCAGCCTCCTGAGTAGCTAGGATTACAGGCGTGTGCCACTGACGCCCAGCTTTCTCTTTTTTACTTAATTTTATTGATTGATTGATTTTGCCAGTATTTAGGGTTTGAAGTCAAGTGCCATGCTTCCAGCCCAGCTTTTTGCTATTTTTCTTATTTTTGGAGATGGAGTCTTTTCTGCCCCAGAGGCTTCAAACTAAGTTCTTCTGGATCACCACCTCCTAAGCAGCTAGGATTAAGGTGTTAAGCATCTGCTTTATGTCCCTTGATCTAGGTGTAATGCAGAATCAAGTTGTAAGTTAGATTTAAAAACAAACAAAAGAACATTGAGCTATTTTTAGGTCCTTAGAAGTTGGACTTCATGCAACTAGCAATACATGGGAAAAGGTTGAGCATTTGTTAAGTTATAAAGCCTTTGAACTGGTTACATTCACAGAGTAAAGCCAATTTTATACAATAGATTTAGCATATGGTATTTAGATAATAGTTATATAAATTTTGGCACTAATACACTAAGAAATCAAGCCAAATAATTAAATGGAGTTGTATAAATGGCTTAGTTACCTTGTAGAAAAGGAAAATTCTCATAAGTAAAGCTTTAATGATGAATGATGAGTTTAATAGTTGGTTGACTGACATTGGTTCAGACTCCAGATAAGTTAGTCAGCTTGTCTTTTTTTATTACTTTAGACCACTAAAGTAGCTCAGAAATCCTAGCCTTTGATAGTAGAAGTCTAAAGAACATGTCATCTAACAGAAAGCCAACAATATTATCTTTGTACTCAAAGTAAGAATTCTGAGGGGTTGGAGATTTAGCTCAATGGAAGAGTAGTTGCCTGGCAAGTGCAAGAGCTTGAGTCAGTAGCTCTGAAAAAAAAAAAAATTGAAAGAAGAAAATGAAGAACGTTTTACTTTAGAATGACTTGTTACCTGTTCTATTTAAGAATAAAAATAAGTAAGTGAAATTGTAATATAAATTCTAAAGAACTTTTAGAACTTACTAAGAAAAAATATTTAGAATTTGTTTTATCTTTGAAAATCCTTACTAGTTAGGTATAGTCTAAATAGTGGATTTTTGTTTTGTTTTATTTTTTTGTCAGTCATGGGTTTGAACTCTAAGCCTGGGCGCTGAGTAGCTAGGATTATAGGCGTGAGCCACCCAGGCTGGCTTTGAACCATGATCCTCTGATCTCAGCCTCCTGAGTAGCTAGGATTATAGGCCTGAGCCACCAGCCCAGCTTCTTTTAAACAGTGTTTTTGCTTTTGTTTGGATTTCTTTCATTTTTTGGAAGTGGTGCTGTGGCTCAAGTGGTAGAGTGCTTGCCTTGAGCTGAAGAGCTGAGGGACAGCTCCCAGGCAGGCCCAGAGTGTTCAAGCCCCAAGACCGACCAAAAAAAAAAAAAAAAAGAATCAGAATCATTTTTTGATGGTACTGGGCGTTGAACTCAGGAGCCTTGTGCTTGCTAAACAGGCTGTATCACTTGAGTCACTTCTTTTTATTTTTCTAATAACGGAAGTCTCACTTTTTGCCCAGACAGGCCTGGTCCACAATCCATTTGTTTACATTTACAGCATAAACTAGGACTATAGGTATGCACCACCATTGAGATGGGGTTTCATGGACTTATTGCCCAGGCTAGCCTCGAAACATAAGCCTCCACATACCTTAGCCTTGTAAGTAGGTAGGATTACAGATATGAACCATCATGCCTTGCTTAAAACAGTGGTTTTATTTAAAGTGAGTGTGCATTGGCTCCATTGTGAAATTGAAGATTAAGGTAGCTTTTTTGTATATTTATCTTTGAGGTCACGGTTGGTAAGCTAAAATTTGTAAAATAAGAATCTAAGGTAAATTTACTGTTGAATCATAAATAACTGAAAGAAATTACCTAGGAAACAGATGAAAGAATTTTTATAACCATAAGTTTCTGTACCCAGTTTATCAATAAGTAGTTGATAAGTCATTTTATGCAAATTTCAGTTATCAATGCTACAATATTAACTTTTTACTTGAATTATATAGGTCTATAAAATTACCAGCTGATAATTATTTAAATTGTCATTATTGGATTGTTCTTTGCAGAATTTTGGTTAATTATGGAGCCAAATTGTCCTGAACCAACTTCAGAGTTAATGTTATACATAATTACAAACAGGCATCCTTCATATTACTAGCATTGAAGCCAACTACTGAAACACATTAAATATAGAGCTGGTGCTGAAGCTACAGTTTTATATGGTAAACCAGATTTCAGCAACTTGGTTTTATAGAATTTTAATATTATAAATTTTATTTTTTCCTTTTTTT